CCTTCTGACCAGCCTGTAGCCATCGATAGCCACGTTCCAGTCGGCTGAAGCTTATCGAGTCAGATAAGCTGAAGCTCTCTGAATAAATCTTTACAATTCAGAATATGCTAACATTTTATGCTAACATGATCTTGAAAGTAGCCTGTCTAGTTTTGAGGGGGTCCGTGGAAGCCAGATGAAAAAAGCAAGCTGTCAGTCGTGTAACCTCGCGCTAGGGGTCCTTGGATGGAAAGAGATTGTAAAGTGCTTCTCTGAAGTCTTGCTGCTGTTAGCCAGACTGTAACCAAACTGCAGGAGTGGGCAGCAGCGGTTCTGTGGTTCATACCAGGCACATACTACTCAAGCACTGAATTACGTCAATTCTGTAATTTTAAAGTATGGTAGGTAATGTGATAAATATGATAAGGAAGAAATAACTAAATATCACAAGAGAGAAATGAGCAACTGCAATGTAAGGCTGTGATAGGAATGACTACTAGTAATGCCATGAAACTTCTGCCTTGTACTGCTGCAGATACGCTGTGAAAGCAAGGAAAGATTCTCTCAACTGTTCTGTGTAAATGACACTAGTAAAAACAAAAGTTGGAAGTTCCTTCATGTGTACTGGCAGTAAGCTTGGAGAATTCCAAATCTGGATCATAATTTTTTCCTGTTTTCTTTTTCAGATACTCTTGTGCTTAGTGTGCATTGTAATTTTAATAGCTACAGAGCTCTGGACACGTATTCATTGGTTTGTTCAGCTAAAACGTGTTTTATTAATAAGTTTTCTCATCAGTTTTGCATGGAATTGGCTTTACTTGTATAAGGTAAGTTGTTCTGAAATCCTAATGGCTTTTAGGCTTCATATTTTACGTTTATGAGGGAGTTAACATTTTTTAGTTCCTTTAGTTAGTTTATATAAAGCAATAATTGACTGCAAAATAAATAAAGGGATGAACGTTTTATTTTGCTTATTGACGGGTGTATTAGGCTTAAAGAACAACAAAAAAAAACCCTGTCAGCTTTTATCCTGCCGCAAAGGTGCACAAAATTCATAAAGCAGTAGAACTGTGATTTCACTGCATGGGCAAGGGAGACGTGAACTCTGTCTAAAGCAGCTTGGTAGAAAAGTCTTAGGAAAATATTTTTTTTTTTTCTTTCTAAGAATTCCCTGGCTGAAACTGTATTTAACGTGTGATAGACCAGAGATAAATGCTTCATTAATGGTGACAGAGTAGCTGACTGCATGATAATGGTTTTAATGAGGGGGAATTTATGCTGCTAGGTCATAGCCCAACCAACAAAGTTTCAGTCCTCGCATCTTGTCATCAGAATTTAAGTGTAGCTTGTCAGACCCAGGAATAGTGGAGTGCCAGAGAGTAGGATTGCTCTTGAACATGAGTGGACTGCCGTGCGGAGGACTCAGTCCGAGTCCATGAAGAATGTCCGTTTTTCAACAGGTGATTTGACTTAATTTTTTCTATTTTATTATCTGTTGCAAACTGTAAGGCAAAATTATAATGAATACAGGTATTTGGTAATGGGAATTATTTAAAAAATAAAAGAGAGTGTCCTGATGTTTTAATTAGTAATTGCATGGCAGCTGTCTATTTTTAATCCAGAAACACTTTAAGGAAACAAGGTGTCAGATTACTTTTGCCCTGAACTTGTGTCTTTGAATATTGAAGTTTGCTCTTTTAGTAATTCAGACTCCATTTGGAGAATAACTCTGAGGTAGCCATCTTGGTAGCTTTTATCCATTCCCAGGAAGTACTTAGAATTTAACTCTGTTAAATTGTTCAGGTAGCAAACTTTTCTTCATACAGATTTACCTGGGTAGTTATCCCAAACCTGCTAAGAGCAAACATCGTTAGCTCAGGTGCAGTGCTGCGTGGACGCAGGGGTTCTGTGCCCAGCACCACCTTGGTTTATGTTTTATAAGTGTTTCTTCTTCTCCTGCAGCTGGCCTTCGCGCAGCATCAAGCAGAAATTGCGAAAATGGGGCAGTTTGATAACGTCTGTGCTGAGAAGTTGGACTGGGGGGAAAGTCTTATTGGTAAATATTTGTTTCATTATTTTGTAATAGTATTTAAGATCACAAAATATTCAGTAATAGTATCCAAGAATACTCTTAATTTAGTCATGAGTAGTACATTGAATCTGCCTCAGCAAATCATGTGGTTTTTACCATTTTTCCACTCCACAAGACTTTCTTTTCTAGGCCTTTGAAGGAGAGCTGATCACAAATCTGTGCTTAGAGCATGTCATAGTGTTATTTCTAGGCAGTGGTTTTCCTTATAACTTACCCTGTGAGTGTTTCCCCAGCTCCCCTCCCCCAGTACCATTCAGTGGTGTTTATTGAAGATAGGAGGGCAGAATTCAAGAAAAAGATTATTTTTTTTTCCCCTCCATCTTCCAGGCCTGCAAGTACAATGGACTTCAGAAATTAGATCTGTAGCTACTTAACTCTAGTGTTACTCTGTTTTACAGAGAAAGCTGATTTTTTTTTTTTTTTTTTTTTGTATTAGCCGCTATTTGTTATCCAGTGCTATACCAGGTAGATTAAAGACAGCAGCTCTTAATGAGTGCTTGTTATGGTCTTCCCTTTAGAATTTATTGGCTGTGATTGCTCTGTTTACATCAAATTTCAATGGTTTATGTTCTGACTGTGCTAAAAACAAACTATGGAAACACCGATGTCATAAATTACTTGTTTATAACTGTATTGGGTTTGTGTGGCAGGGTTTTGGTAGCGAGGGGGCTACAGGGGTGGCTTCTGTGAGAAGCTGCTAGAAGCTTCCCCCATGTCCGATAGAGCCAACGCCAGCCGGCTCCAAGACGGACCCGCTGCCGGCCAAGGCCAAACCCATCAGTGACGGGGGGAGGGGCCGGGGCGGT